AGGCTGCTTATTGCGCACCCTGCTCTAGGGCCACATGCAAAACCCATCCACTTCAACGGGTTTTGAATCTTGCTTCCCGTGCATGGGAGAGCGACACTAGGCCATCAGCTGTCTGAAAGCACTGGGGAGTTTCCTATCCAAAATGAGTAGCCAGCAAAGATTGGAATGTGCCACCTGAAATAAAGTCATGTATATCAGACAGGTTCCCAAACTTGCCAGTTTCTGTATGAAACCCATTGCCTGGCACTGCTTCTACTAGAGCAAAGCTCTTTGCTACATACACACTGTGCTGTAGGAATGGGATCTGTATTGTCCAAGCCATGCATCACATGACTCAGGGGTGTGTCAGGAGCTGCAAGTAGTGAGTGTTGAATTCAATCAGTCAACAGTGCACATGTATTGGAAGCTGCAGCCCGACTCTAATAGCTTCACTAGACAGAAGATCGATGCTGCTACATTCAATCTTCCGGAGTTTGAGTTAGTGGGTCTAGTTAAGACTCGCTAAGTCAAACTCAGAGGGCACCCCTGCTGGCTGCTAGTCCTCCTGCTTGTGCTAGTAGTAAGGAAAGCCAACAGGAGCATTTGTTCCCATCGGCCGCCTGCTGTGGGGACAGTGAGGAAAACGTGCAACAAGGTGTGTCAACTGCCGCTACATAATTAATGCTGCCGTTGTGTATCTTGCTGTGATGTTCCCTATAACCGTAGGCCTCCGTCTTTCTTTTACATGGGCCATACACAGCGTTGAAAATCAAGCTGCTCTCTGCACTCATGCTGCATCAGAGATTTTTAAAAGGTGCATGTACTATCTTACATAATATGAACTGGTTTCTGCTGTGACAGGGTGAGGAACCGGTCCTTGGGCAGCAATAAAAGGCATTGTGTCACGTGTGCTCTCTTACATTGGCCTATTTTTGTACAATAATCAGACCAAGACCAAATTTCTCCTAGAGAGGAAAAAATCCTATAAACATCTAAGCAAAGGCTGTAAGCTGATCTATTTCCCTGCTCCCCCAGCTGTGAAATATACAATGCCCTAGGGATGGTCATAAAAAATGTGGCAGCTGTTAGTCTCCTTATAATTATTCCCCGACTTCCTTACTATAAGGCTGCACAATCAGCACTAGAAATGCCAAAGAACACAAGGCATTCAGAGTAGTCTGGTCTTTAGCGGTAAGGCTGTCATGACATTGTTAGTCTAGTACACGCAGTCCCCAAGTTACGCGGATCCGACTTATGTAACCCCAGAGCACAGCGGTCCCGCCACCTCGACCTCCGGGGCAAGAAAAGCTGCTCCGGGTGCCCCTGGTCTGCTGGGGACCGTCTCCAGCAGACCAGGGACACTGGGAGCAAAGCTGCAGCGGCGGTGGAGTCCCGTGCCTCTGAGGCTTTGCCAGATCAAAGCCTCAGAGGCGCGGCACCCCGCTGCCGCTGCGGCTTTGCTCCCCATGTCCCTGGTCTGCTGGGGGGGGGCAGCTAGTGTGCCCCCCCCCCTCCAGCAGACCAGGCTTTTGTTGTGGACCCTGGGGTAGAGCAGCTGGGGTGCTGCCGGATTGGTCCTGCAGGGACCTACCTGGCAACCCAGCTGTTCTGTCCCAGACTCGAGATTCAGCCGCTGTTGAAACTGATCAGTGGCTGATTCCAGGAAGCTGGGGGCAGAGCAATTCTGCCTCCAGCTTCCTGTAGTCAGCCCCTGGTCAGTTTCAGCAGCAGCGGCTGAATCTGGAGCCAGTTCCGACTTACATACAAATTCAACTTAAGAACAAACCTATAGTCCCTATCTTGTACGTAACCCGGGGACTGCCTGTACTATTCCATCCTTCTGGGGAGTAATAAATAATATCCCACATGGATTTCAGAGAACTGGGGTTTTCTATCAAGAGCATCGTCATCTGACCAGCTTATAGGCAAAGGACTGGCTTATAGGCAGTAACCACCACTACCAGAATAGAGATTCACGCAACCGCCCCAGATTGGGACGTTAAAACTACCTCACCTGATGATGTGTTGCCAACCAGTCCTAAGTTGATCCATTGCTGAGAATAATTAGCAGCAATCGTTCTCCTTGAATACATGCTGGAATCTGCTTAATGGAGGAGGCAGGGCAAGTGAGGTGCTAGCCTCACTCCTCACATCCTGCACCACTGGTGTGGACAAGGGGTTTCTCCCATTCCACACTAGTCCCTGAATAGCTTTCAGCTCCAGTTCAATGGAAGTGACTGCTGACCAATGTTCCTTCTAATTTTTTCCATCCATGTGCAGAATACATTTTGTTACATGCACCAAAGCAAGTGTAGATGTGCACCACCAGTATAGCAGAGCACCCGCAGCATATGTTTAATCAGCTGAGTGGCATTTGAATCTCTCCTGGGTGGCTACCCAAGCACTTAGCTTACAGGAAACACTGCTGCTGACATCTACGATCATGTCTGGTCCAGTCTCCTGACTAGCTGGAGGTGTTTAATGACACCATCTCAAACCTCTTTCACTAGCCTGCTAAATTCTGCTCCGGTTCCCCGTAGGAAGACACAGTTCCAGTACTGGTGAAAGGCACTATCTTGGCAACTCCAGAGATCGTACATGCGCTTATCCATGGAACAAGGGCTGCAGGTTTCTCCATAGCCTGCCCTCCCAAAACACCTTGGAGGAACCAATTCTAAGGGGAAAGATTAGCTCATTCACATTAGCCCGTAACTCTCGGCTCAGATTGCCCACAGCAGCGCTGGTTGTGGGCACCGTGTCAGAGTTGTGGACTCCTGTCCAGCAGAAAATGATCCAAGAACAATTCGTTTCACACCAGTCCCTGAACAGCTGACTAAAAGGGAGACTTGATCAGCACACCAAGTCAGGCTAGATTTGAACCAGCAACCAAGCAGTGCAGAATTCCTGTGGCCATTGATGGTGTTGTCCTCCCACCCTCTCCCCCAGGAAATATTTGATAACCCCAACATTCAGAGAAGAGGACAGTTACATCAGGCGCCTCCGCCCATGTGCACACTCTGCGACAGCTGCGAGGCCTTGAACCTGTGGACTTGAGATGGTTAGAAAGAAAATCTCAAGTTTTGTTCCTGCCTGTTTTATATGCAAAGCATCATCTAGGAACCAATTTTACAGGTGAGGATAACTACCACTTTTACAAGTGAGGGGAGCTGTGGCAGAAATATGGAAGCAATATACAGGCAGTCCCCGACTTACGTGGATCCGACTTACGTCGGATCCCTAGATACGAACGGGGTGAGGCAACTCCCGCACATGTGCAGCAGCATTCCCGGGGCTCGCTCACCTGGGTCCTAGGATCCTCCTCCTCCTCGGGCCGGCTCCGACTGGGGTCCCGCAGAGCTGCCGGGCAGAGGAAAAGTGCCTCCCCACGCCCGCTGCCCCCCCCCACCCCCCTGCCAGCAACAGGCTGCCGAACAGACAAAAGCAGCCTCTCTGCCCCTCCTCCCCCTATACATGCTGGGCTCCCTGGGCAAACAAAGACTCCACCAAAACAAACAAAGTGCTGGCCTCATTGTGTTAGCAAAAAAAGGACCCTCCTCCTAGAACCCTGGGTGGTGTGTGGAAATAAAGCTATTAGCTCAAAGCATGGTGCAGAGCTGTTTGGTATTTGATGAGTTACTCCTTTAGTCCTGAGTTTGTCACAGGGACAGAAATAGATGTGAAATCTTCTGAACAGGGGAACAGACAGCAAAACAAACATTAGAGGGGAGTTAACCTTTCACTATGCTATCCAAAACTAAAAAAAATGTTTGGCTAGAGTTTCCCCTACAATATGTACCAGTTCCGACTTACATACAAATTCAACTTAAGAACAAACCTACAGTCCCTATCTTGTACGTAACCCGGGGACTGCCTGTATAGGTTTGCAAAGCCAGTTTTGCACACACTGCTCCCTACACAGAGACTAGCATTTTAAATAAGCATTTCCTGGGTTAGATTTCCTAAATGGCACAGGGAGTATGAAAGCCAAAGCCCATTATTCAGAGGAAATTCGTTTTATATCTTAACGCCGGATAATTGCTTTTTAAAACACAGCAAACTAAAACATCCTGGGGCGTCTATCGAACCCTGTCCCCATCTTGGGATCTTCAGGCCATTCTCAAAGATTCGGCATAGGGAAAAGTAATTAAGGCTTTGCAGCCTCAACAGCTCCAGGCCAAATGCTCATGTTAGGAAAAGGTGCAATGCCTTTAAGGTTTGCAAAAAGTAGATTAGTGCAGGGAGAAGCGGGAAGGGGAACTGAATGGGAAGAGACGGGGGAAATACTGCAAAGCATCAGAGGGAGAAAGGGGCCATTGCTTTTTCATGCACTGATATTACTACTGCTCATCACAGCTGATAAGAGTCACATACGTGCTCAATGTAAGAATGTTGATTGCGGGGAAAGGGGGTTAAAGACAATTTATTCCAATCCCTCACCACGGTCCAAAACAGGAATGCATTCGTTAGCCCCCTCAGTCTTGATACATTCCCAAACACACACTTAAACAAGAGGTACTCAGGCTGCGGCTTGGGACTTTCATTCATCGTCTATGGCTCTTTGCAGCCTATATTAAAACGCGGTGATTTAATTAACAAATCTATGCTATTAATTAGGCAAGACGCTTTTTACTGTGTTACCAAATCTTCTACAATGTTAAGTCATTTCGCTGAGAATTGTATTTTGATTGAGAGAGAGAGTTTTATACTGTGGAACCCACAGTGCCAGGGCAGCAGCTGGCTCCCCAGGAGCAGGGCTGGGAGCCGGTGTGTAACCGTTACAGTAACCGATAAGCTGATGCTTATTGGCTAACTGTTTAAACGGTTACACTATTACATCCCTAAGTCACACGATTGTGGTTCTTTGCTGAACCACTGAGGTCTGAGGCTTAAATCAAGATCGCCTGGGAAACCAAGTCACATAATCCTGGCACAATGCATCAACTGTCTAACAGCCTGAGCCCACGTTATGGCAGTAACAGCATTAAACACGATGTCAAACAGAACTCAGATCAATAGATATATAGAGATAAGTCTTTATATTTATATAAAGAGTAAAATACAGCATTTGGAACCCCAATGGAAGCAACAAACATTCTGTAACGTGGGGCAACACATTTAAACATTTTCTTTGCATTTTTTTTTAATTTTTATATTTTTTTAGAAAAAATACACGTGCAATATAACATGTTTTCACAGCTACACTTTTCTAGTGTGGGAAGAACACAGCATAATTCAGGAAAGAAAACATGAGAGAGACTGAGATCAAACATACCGCAGACTGCACTTGGATGATCACCTGCTACTAGCAAAGGGTGGAGGGGTCACTGCTGGAGCTGCCATCAATTCAGTAATAAGCAGAATAAATTTCTAAGTGCAGTTACGGCCTTAACAGCAATTTTTCCCCAAACAATACAATTTTAGATGGATCCACCCCAAACCAGCAACCTCTGGGAAAGTGAGACACTCTCTGAATTTCAGGTAGGCAATGCCACATTCTAACCTACGCCCGCCTTGGGAACCAGGAAGGAGCAAGACGCGTGCTCCCAGTTCTCTCATTGGCCTGTCTTTTCCCCAGGTTTGGTACCATGTTTAGACAGTTCCAGATAAGTAGGTTCTATAGGAGTCCCCCAGGAGGCCAGGTACAAAAAGTAATGTGTCCAATGAGATGTGTGGCCAGGAAACGCCCTTTACAGAGGGGCCCACTTGGAACGGAGACACACGGATCCAAACCCTTCTCATTCCACCTAAACCGGATGCAATAATTCGAGATCGCAAAGGGAAAACCCAGGCTAATTTGTCAAACATTCTCCCCCCCCCTTCTCCGGGTGGAGCAGCAGGAGGGAGGTTTCCCCTGACAAGCCAATGAAGAGGAGTGATTTTTTGCTTTATAACAGGTGCTAAAGTTCCCTGGGCAGATGATTACAGGGCTTTGAATCAGCAGCTCCTTGCTCAGGACATTAACCCCTTTTTCACATTACCTTGTATGATGCTAAGGGGCAAGAGGCTACCCTCAAGACACTGATTTGAAGAGGAAAGGGGGCAAAGTTCACAAACTAAGATAACGGATGGGAAAGGTCTTGGGCTAGGCGCTCTGAGGCAGCCCTGTGCTTACATACGCGCGTGTGCCGCTGCAAGCCAGTGCTTACAGTTTTGCATATGGCTCGAGTGTTCTGCCGGCCCACACGCGTGGAATTAAGAAGTCCCGGACTCTTTCAAATCCAGGCGTCTCTTCCAGCACACTCTGGAGATCCCGGTGTCTGCTTCCGACCCCACCGCAAGGAAGAAGCTGACCTTTGCAGCCATATGCTGGACTGGTGCAGGAGAGGAGATACACCCCCATGCATCAGGCTGGCCGCTGGGGTCTGATGCTTTTCCAAGAGAGGACAAGGACGCAGCAAGGCTGGCACGCCTCCCCTCTGACCCCTCCTTGGGTGTCTCCATGAGGAAGAGACGGGTCATGGGAGGGAGTCTGCAGTCGGTCAAGTTTCCAAGCAGCTGCCCCTGCTCTTCCACATTCCACGGGAGAGAGGGGTCTTAGGAGCTTTGCAAGAGAACAGTGACCAGGGTTTTCCTAGGAGATGCATCCAGCACAAAGCAGCTCTGACCTGAAAGGAAAGGCTGAGGGAGGGACTTGTGACCGTGCACCTGGCAACAGGTGTGGGTGTTGGGCAGAGAGGGGAGATCGGCGTGAGGGGAACACGGGGCTTTTACTGCCTCGTGCTACTCAGCTGTTCCAACCTGTTTGATATTATAAGAACACTGCAAACTCCCCACTCCCCGTGTGTCCTCCTTAGGCTGCTCTGGGACCTCTCATGTACACTTAATCGTGGCTTCTTCCTTTTAAGCCAGGACTGATGCATGGAGTTTGCCTCCATGACAGACAGCAAGTCTCAGCAGTAAGCGACTGACAACACCGCACACATCAAAACTGGCATGGGGCAGAAGAGGCAGATCAATTGCATTTGCAATCGGTAGGAAAGGGATCAGCCGCCTCAGAGCTCATGAGTAACACGTGATTTGGTCACATGGCCAACACCAAACACTGCGGCTTCTCTCGTTTGCAGTTTTACAAACATCTAACCTAGAACATTTTTATTTTTCAATTCCTGAGCATCAGTCTACGATTAAGGGCTTGCTTTGGGGGGTTGGAAGGATCACACGGCACACTTAAAAATCGCAACATGACTGGGAAGAGTCACAGAGGTTACTCAATGTGAAATACCATTCTACAGATTTAATACGTTACGCTGCAGGGCCAATACGTCAAAATGTCAAAAGGCTGCATTAAAACAAACCTGCTACACTATGAATCTTACAGGACGAAACCGACAGCACAGAACAGCCTTAGACAAGTGTCCCTCAAAAAGCAGGCTCGTGTAAACACAGAAGTCCGCGACAGGAATACTTTTGAAGAGAAACAAAGCTTTGAACACAAGATGGCTGCCTGAACACCACAACGCAAGCATTTCCTGAAGTACACAACTACACAAGTTTTGTTGTAAATTAGTGTGCGAGGCTGTCAATGCTTGTCCGACAGCCCCAGAGCACGAGAAAGGGCTCAACGCTTGCTTGCCATTTGCACGGCTCTGCGTTGTGCTCCAGAGCCTTTAACACGGGGTCCCGACACACGTTCCCATAGGAAAAGCCATCTGGTTTCCCTTGCATAGGGCTTCTCTAGAAGTTTCAGTACTGATCTCTGAAGTCCCTGAGTTTTGCTACAAGGTTCCCATTTTTATCTAGCTATCTGCGCCTTTAAAAAAAAAATCTGTGTGTCCCCTTTCAAAGTCGCTGGTATACACATGGATCATTCTAGCCACTCATCCCTCTTTGAACACTCAGCATCCAAGGTTCACTGAGACACTGCATGCTGCACTGGCAACACCGGCCCCAGAAAGAAATGACAGTCTGTGTACCCTGTGCTACTGATCGTAATACATCAACGGGAGAGGCCAGGAATCAAATGAGTATTTACCCTGGGCCATTTCAGGATTCTGATTGGTAATGTAGAGGTCAAGGAGGAGAGCGGAGGATGATTACATTTGCAGAAAGACAATAAGATTAATATTTCCTTTCCCCTTGGAACAAGAACAGCACGCTCTGTAATGTGGCACGGAGGAAGCCCAGAGGCCGAGTGAGTCACTAACACCCAGGATGTGTGCAGGCTGCATGTGCACGGGGGGTGGCATTTAACAGGCTAGCTAGAGATGCATCCGCCTGAGTCGGTGCATCTGAAACAAGTGGGTGGCTGGAAGCAGCGGCGACCAGGAAAACTAACCTGCGTTTCTTTTGTCCACGGCAAAGCCAGAAGGGCAAGTGAGGCTCCAATTGTGTTTGGGGCGCCTCCTCCCTCAGCAATCACTAGCCACGTTCATCCCCCGCCTGGTGGCCAGGCTCTCTCATCCCAGATACCACCATGTCTGAGCCCTGAGCTGCACTTCCGAGTTCCACCAAGTGAACTGCAATGGGGCCAAGCTCCTGGGAAGTCAGCCAACACAGCTCCTGGGCCTCTCCCGGTCAGGAAGGCGCCACCCGGAGGATTCTCAGAGCAAGTGACCTAGAATCCTTTCTCCAGCTGACCACAGCAAATTCCCCTGAATAATGCTGCTGCCAGTCTCTAGAGCTCACTAAGGAAGTTCACTGATTTGCCCTCACATCAAGATGTGCAAATTTCACTCTCTTTCCTTTGAAGCGATGCCAATAAAGATCTCCAAGGGTCACCGTGGAAGGACCTTTGTACTGAGGGAGGGGGGTTGCTAGCTAGGTGTAGTTATGTGTTTGCAGCAGAAAGATGTGCATGAGTTTGTCTGCCTATCGCCCAGACCAGGCGCGGCGTTTTCAGTGAGATAAGGAAAGGCGATGTGACACAAAACCAGACTCCCGACATCGACGATCTGCAGCGGCTCCAAGATCAGTCTCCCACCCTTCCCTAGAGCGCTCGCTTCTGCCCAGGCCGCGTCGCTAAAGAATGCTCCCCCCTCCTTCGCCCCAACAACGGGAGCAACCGACGTCTCCTTCGAAGGGCCGAGCAAACGGCAAGCGCATCAGCCCGTCTGGCTGCAGGATAGCGCTGGCTCAAACGAGAGGCCAGGACAGATCGTCAAGGCTGGTTCTTATCGCAGCAGCTGCTCCGCTGCCAAAGCAAAATGCCTGGTGCAGCGTTTGTGGATAAACTTCCAATGCACCACAGTATACAAGAGGAGCCTGGATCTTGATCTCTGAGCTGGGGGAGATTAGAGTCCTGTTTCCACCTGGATTAGCCACTGGCTACCAACCTTCTAAAGTAACAAGCACCTCGTGCTGCCGTATTATTCCCTCCCTTCACCCCATGCCCTGCCTACAGAATCTTTCGACCTCATCGGCTGTGGCCTACTGATGCAGTCTCATCAGGAAAGTTTCCAGCAGCAGGACCAGTGCACGGCACCTCACTGATGCCTGGGATACAGCAATACTGTCCCCTCCCCAGAGCCCACATAAATACATGGGGATCTTGAGCATTACTCCATTTTACAGACACAAACACCTCGTGGGATATTCGACTCAGACAATGCGACAGGGCTCTGGGAGGAAGGAGCATCTGGAAAGGGTTGGTTCGGTGTGCGCTCCTATTTCTATGGGCTGCCTGGTGCAGCTCTAAGGTTTGCTGACAATCATGCAGGTTTATTGTGGTGGTTTCACGTAGCCCATCTTCATTTGCGCAGGGTCACGGAGGAGGAATCCTCCCATTCCGCAGACGCTCCTCTCTGCCTCTCTCCGAACGCCGGATGAAGGCCAGAGGCGCTATTCGGCGGCCATTTGCTCAATGTGATCGCTAAGCAGCTTGTTTTGCTCTGCAAGGCAAAGAGAAAATGAGATTTGTGAGGCCAGGGTTTATCATGCTGAGAAGATGAAACGAGAGAGGGGCAGATGCTGTCCCTAGGTGCCCGGGGGCTCTTTAAAATAAATCAAGGCCGTGACACAACAAACAAGGTACCAGCATATTTTATTTCGTTTAGATGCTACTGGACAGCGAGTTTCCCCAGCTGAGTCTTGAGCTGTAAACAAACCAACGACCCCCCTGGCCTGATTGGGCACTGGTGAGAAACGGCATGTCTGCACTGTCATTGGCCCAGCTGTGGAGCCAAACACCCAGACAACGGGGGATGGTGCCCCACTCGTGCCAGCTGGGCATCTGGCCCGATTTACTCCAATGAAGCTGCAGCAGTTCGCACCAGTAGGGAATCTGGGCCTATTAACTTCACCAGCACTAGGGCAATTGACCCCCGATGGGGATCTAGCCCCACTGCCTCCAATGGAGCTGCAGTACATGGACATCCATTCCAACGCTGCCCAGTGATCGTAGACCCTGCCCGTGAAAATCCAGTAACATTTGGAGTTTGCCCTAGACTAGAAGCCAGTACAGGTTGAACCTCTGTGGTGCGGGACTCTCTGGTCCGGCAACGGATGTTGCTAGACTGGAGCGTCCCAGCATAGAGGTTGTTCGCAGATGGGAGCAGGGCCAGCATGGCAGTGGAGCCCATGGGGCACCGGAGCCCACAGCCAGCTGGGGCAGGGAAGCCAGAGCCCGCGGGGGGAGGGGGAGCAGCAGAACTCGCAGCTGGTGGGGTCAAGAAGCGAGGGAGGGAGGGGAGCGCTGTAGATCTCACAGCCCGCAGGGCTGCTGCAGCCAAGGGGCTGAGGGCAGTGGTGCCAGGTAGCTGGGGAGAGGAGCCCCGCCCAGATCTTCCCTGGTCTGGAAAACTCCCTTGTCCAGGCTGGGTCAGGTCCCCAGGGAGCTGGGACCAGGGAGGTCCAACCTGCCCTCTTTGCCCCGGCTAAAGGGTGCATTTCAGATATGCCTCCTCCCCATTGCAGTTGGCTTCTCCTAGCCTGCGCCTGTCTCTGGGAGACCAATTACTTCCCCGCCTCCTTCCCACCAGCGCAGTCTCCGCCCTCCAGGAGCTGGTGCGTGGCTCCAGGCCCCGCCCTGCCCGTCCTACCTTCGTCCAGGTTGCCGATCACGGCCTGCTTCTTCAGAAAGTCGTTGCAGAGCTTCTTGCTCAGGCCGAATGCCAACATGTTGTGAGTGAACGTGCTGGGGGCAAAGGGGACAGAAATGGTACAGGCACCGCAAGGAGTCAACCGCAGAGCCCCCATGCCTGGCAGGATCCCTTCTCTCACTCCTGTAACCCAGGGGCTGGAACCGGCATCTGGGTATGTGGTGGGCATTCCCTGTTCTTGTATTGCTACGGGGGCAGACCCCTTCTCTGGAGCCCAGCGTACATCACCCACTGGCCGCAAAGAGCATCTCACCTTCTCCACCGACTATCTGGCTTTGCCTCCACAGCCATCAAGGTAACCCTTCCAGCCCCTGCCTGAAAGGAGGACAAGGGCAAAGGATTCTTCTAATCCCAGTCAGAGCCATGGGAGAGAGGGAGTTAGTGGATGTCTTCCTGGGAGAATCCATGTCTGCTCTTCGGAGGGGAGAGGAATGAGAGAGAGAGGCCTGAAAACCCTGGACACTGGAATGCTGGTTCTGAGAATCCAAAGAGATAAAAAACCCACTCCCGTTTTCAGTGAATGAACTGTCTAAATACTGGAGTGGCAGCATTTTTATCACGTGTTCGGCTCCATTTCCAAAGCTATTTAATCGGGGAAGGAAACATCAGCCCAGCAACCCCTTTGCTTTAGCGTCAGTCTGTTCATCCTCTCGGGCACACTAAATTTCTGTTCTTTGTTATCAAAGACCTGACCCAACACCCCAAATCTACATGCTTGGACCCTGATTCAAGCTTGGGAAAAGAGTTGCAATCTCTTTCTATTGAGATTTTGTCCGTGACAGCAACGGACAGGCTCCTTCTGGCCACCCAGACTCAGACATTGTCAGTCAAATAGCGTGCGCCTTACCCGAGCTGCCCAAAAGTGATGTTCTCGTTAAACCGTAGGCTGTCATCACGCTCCTCCTGGGTCATGTGACACCACTTTTCCCTGCAACCATAGGAACAGATCTTGTACTGGGAAGTCACCATGCAGCCTTCCCTCCTCACATTCATCCAAAACCCTGCTGGTTGCTGAGACCACGTCTTCACTAAATGGAAGATCGACCCTGCTGCGATCGATCTTCCGGAATTTGATTTAGCAAGTCTAGTTAAGACTTGCTACATCGAACTCAGAGGATACTTCCGCGTGTGCGAGGAGTAAGGGAAGCCGATGGGAGTGTTTGCTCCCATTAGTCTCCTGCTATGGGAACAGCGGAAAATTTAAAACAAGGTACGTCCACTCCAGCTACGAGTTGCGTATCTTGATTTGACCTTCCCTTTTAGCATAGGCCTGGCCTGAGACACGTCTGCAGGCTTGTAGGAATTGTGAAGCTGATGAAGAATATATCTAGGGAGCCAGGAGATCACTGAATACCTGATTCCGTTCTCTCCCATCTGGCCAAATGGCTGAGCCTGATCTAGGCTGGAGATGGCAAATGTGGTACATATTTACCGCAGCTGCTGCAGCGCCATGCTTTATTGTACACAAAACCGAGTCCCGATGCTGATGGGAACTGGGTGAACTGGAGAGCAGGGATCCATCAGCACGTGCCTTCCACACACAGCTGAGCACTCTGCCTTTAACGCCGTGGTACTGGGAAGGAGGTGGGAGCTGGGTGTCGGGGGGGTACCGGGTGGGAGCAGCAGTCCCTGAACGCAGTAGCCCCAAAGGCAAAGCGTTCACCCAGGTCTCAGGCCTGATCTATACACAAGCCTGCAGCAGTTTCCCTAAGGGGATGAAGGGGTTAAATGGATTTAGTTAAACCTGGGTAATGTCTGTGTTTAGGCCGAGGCTACTTCTAAAAATTAGATCCTGCCAACTACATGGCTCAAGGGTGGGAAAAATGTCATGCCCTGTGCACTGCAGCTTGTTTTCCCTAATCCCCACCGTCTGCACAGCCAGGTCGGTATAGCTACCACCTCTCGCGGGGAGGATTAACTAAACCACTGGCAAAACGCTTTCTGTGGATACAGGAAGCACCTACACTGGTCCCGTAGCTGCAGGACAGGCCTGGCCTTAGCCTGGGCCTCCCCCAAATAAGATTAATATGCAGAGAGGTCAGGACGTCTGGCTAACGAAAACAACAAGGGAAAAGGCATCTGCTGTGCCTCTCTTCCCATGGGCTGCACAACCCAGTCTGGCAACTTCCTTGTTTATCTGTGCTCCCGGCACTGGGCCACTGTGAGCCGGGCTCGACAGGGCTTTGTGGACTGGCAATCAAAGGGAAGGGAGCGAATGGATCAGCGGGAGTTGGGAATGAAATGCCGCAGCCCTCTCCTTAAGGGTTACGAAGGGCTGGGAATGCAATGCTACCCACGCAGCCTGCCTTCTCCTAGGAACGCTTTGAGCTACCTCAACTGGCCCCCTTAGATGGAGCAAGGTCACTTTTATTCTCCTTTAAACCAGAGATAGTAACCCTTTAAGCCAGAATCTAGGCGGGCAAGTGTCCAGTGCCCAGTTGGGGGAACTGACACAGCCTTGCAATCGTTCACCCATTGACCTGCACGCCCCAGCACCTTCTGGACTGGACTTTGAGCTCTCGACTCAAGTCTGCATCCACTTCCCGAGAGTGGAGCGCTGTGAACACAGTGTGGATTGCCAGATGCAAGTGCCTAGACAACAAACTGCATCTGCCTTCTTGTCGAACATTTCATGATCAGTGAACACTGCATGATTCCCAGGAGCAAGGTACAACAACAGGTCGGGGTGTTTGATCGTAGAACTAAACCAGTCAATTGTGTGTGTGGGTGCCAGACAGCACCTTTGCTTTGTACGTGTCCCCTCTCCTATGGCCCGTGAAAGGTGACTGTGTGCATTCCTAACACTTGGGCATTGTGAGGCTCTCTGTAGACGTGTCACTAATGTGTGTTTCAAAAAGCCACTGTCGAGCCAGGACACAAGAGTCATTCTATGTATGTTCATTACGCTTATTTAATACATGCACGTGGGGCAGGGATTCAAGGCAGCAGTCTGCTGACCGGAAGTCAGGTGGGGGTTGCATACAAGGTTAAGAGGAGAAGAAAGGGAAGGAAAAAGGGACAGGAAGAAGAAATAACTGAGGAGAGGCAAAAGGAGAATAAAAGAAACAGCACACAAACTCCCAACGCACGCTTAACGCGCCTGCCCCCTACCTGGAGTGGGGAGGAGCCGCTTGAATTGGAAATCGGGCAATCGGGGATGTTTTTGGCAAATTTACCCTAACTAGGACAAGTGTCAATTACTACTGGGACTGGTGATTTCAGACTTTTCCCCCTCGAGGGCCCAGTCCAGCAAGCCCTTCCTCGCATGTCCAGTTCTTATTAGACAGCTTTGCAGGATTGGGCGTAAAAAACTGCAAGGGATGTAGCTGCTTTGATGGTGTTTGTGTGGCCAAATTCTGTGCCTCACTAGAAAGTTTAGGCATACGATTAAAAGCACAGACTGTCAGGATCAGGTTCACTATAGCAACCAAAATATGCATCTAAATCTGAAGGCTGCTGGGGGGCAGAGAGAGGGGAGAAAAATCAGCAAGGTGCTTGGAATGCTGAAATCAAAGCTTTACAGATCTCATTATCCCAGTTACAGAGTAAGCGTATTTAGGTTTTTCTGCCCTCCTCGGATAGTCTTGCTGAAGGAAAACAAGATCAAAGTGACCAAGGGAGATTCATGAGGCATCCAGGTCTGTTATTCGGGAATAATGGGTTAAAAATGTGTTTCAATTAAATATTGGGATCGTTATCTGACATAAAAAACCACTGTAGAGATCTATTTTTTTTTCACATAATCCCTATTTGACTGTATTATTAAATGTCTGAGGACAAGGATATTTCTGCAAAATGGGCTTCTAAAATTCTAGCTTCTCAGCAGGGCAATGCACCAGCAAACTCACGATGCTGGACTGCAGAGACCTCCAGATGTTGGCAGCTGCATGTCCAATTCTGGGCAGCAGTGTGATTTTTTTATGCTTCTTGTTTGAAATTCACCCTTCTCTGCAGGTATAGGAGCGCTACAAGGCTCTCTGCACTGACAATGGCCAATTTAATTTAGTCCCTGTGAGCAGGTACATTTTACACCAGGCAACTAATCTGAGCAGTGCTCTGCTTACAAAAATCTACTCAATTTCTTTCCCCTAACAGATGTTAGCTGCACTTTCAAGATCGTATCCGGGAGCTCCTACCCCTTTTTTCAGGGAGGCTTTTTTGTTGGCTTTAAATGATTAGTTCCACAATCAGATGTCAAGATTTTTTTTTGTTAAATCAAAGACTCTTCCCCCTCCAGCCCCAAATACTAGTCTGCTCTTGACTCTGATCCCCAGTAGATCATTTCTTGCACTTATAAAGCTTAAGAACATAACTCTCAATGCAACTTGCTATTTTCCCCCCATGGGCATTTTTTTAAAAAACACAAGCCACAACTTAAAATAAATAAATACATAAATAAAAAGGCAAAATTTCCAACCAGCATCTTCACAACATAAAAGCCACAGCAGCATTGGGAAGACACTAAAGCAAGGGATCGAATATGCCTTGATTCAGCACAGCATAGGCATCGGGAACTGAACGTGAAAAAGCAACGCTCACCGGAGCACACCATGTCACGGAGTCAGTAGCAAAGGAAAAAACGAAATAAGGAGACGAGGATAGAATGACATTCCTCCCTCTATTCCAGGAGACTCAGTTTGTGTCCAAAAACTGCCCATGAAAGTGGAGTAAAATGGCCCAAGAGAACAGAAGTACGAAACATCAACTGCTCTATCCGTTGTGCATCTAATTCGTTACTGAGAGATCTCAACCCGTGGACCGTGATTAAGTTTATATTAAAATCGACCAGATCTAAGGATTAAGGATGTAACTGTTCCCAGATTTAGGTTAGTCCCACTGATAGCACCGTCCCCCATTTGCTGCAGCTAGAGAGAGATCAGAGTTTGCACCCATTTGAGTAGGTGGCATTTCCAAG